TTAAAAGACTTGTATGTACTCAGAAGTGCTTTATTCCATAATATACTCGGATTACTTTGACTGAATCACCCATAAATTAACCTCTCCCAATATTAACAAAATAATAATAATCAAATAAATTCCCATGATCTTTTTCCTCCATTTCTCTCTTCAAGCACTAACAACCAACATTTTCCTCCCATTCTTTTTTTCCCAGTCCTCCGATCTTAGAACAAAAACTAAATATGAGACCATCAAAGAATCAATTAGTAAAAGAGCAGCCACAAAATGAATCTTTGCTAAAGAAATTGCCTTATATTTTTTACGCCTTTTTTTCAATTCTCCTCATTCATTTTTATATTAACCCTATCTCCTTTTCACCATCTGATAATTTTCCTTCCACAAATCGCATCACAATATCTCCTCCATCTTCACCTTCCCAAGGTACGTATAATTTTCCGAGATCAGATCTCTTGTTCTATTTTCATATTCCATCGTCTAGTTTATTATTTCTTAGATGTATGACACAGTGTAATAATATAATTTTTTCTTGCATCAAATTGACTGAAATATGAAATGAATTACAAAATTAGAATAAGAAATCTTACTCCCAATTTTCCAAATTCAAAAGAGATATAAAATAACTGCATTGATGTGTGTTTATATATCATATGTATACATATTCAAAATGGTACATATTTATTACTTATACAGCACTATATGACTATTTAATTTACCGTTGGATTGCATACATTTTGATCCAACGGTACAAAACCCAATAACATCAGTTGGATTTTCTGGTGGTCCAATGGTACCCCCAATTTATAATTTTATATTTCGTGAAATTACTCATTAGTGTAATTTTTACAAATTTTATATAAACGACCGAATTAGAACGAATTTGAGAATCTGTTTGTTTTTATTCAAGATGACACAAAAACTTCGCTTAGCCATAAATCTTTTTATGCATTTTGAACAATTCAGAACAAGGATCGAGCGGAAAAAGCGGGCTTCGGTCTACATGCGACTACACCAAAGGCCAATGGGTACCGTACAATGTGGGCCCTTCGTACAACGGCACGACTTGCGACACGATCAAGTACGGCCAAAACTGCATGGCACACGGCCGGCCCGACACCGACTACCTCTATTGGCGGTGGAAGCCCGAAAACTGCAGCCTCCCGAGATTCGACCCGAAAACCTTCCTCAAACTCCTCGAGAATCGCCACGTGGCGTTCGTGGGCGACTCGTTGGCCCGTAACCAGCTCGAGTCGCTCTTATGCATGCTCGCCACCGTGTCGAAACCGAACCTCTATTGGTCCGAAGGAGAAGAAAACAAGTTCCGAAAATGGCACTTTAGTCCCGAAAATGTCAACATTTCAATCTATTGGTCCCCGTTTCTAGTCGAAGGGGTCGAGAAGACAAACGAGCGGGATTTCAACACGTTGCACTTGGAGTCCGCGGACGAGAGGTGGACACGGGACTTGGGAAGCATCGACATGCTCGTCTTGTCCGCCGGCCATTGGTACTTGCTCTCGGCGGCTTATTATTACGAAAATACTCTTCTCGGTTGCCATTTACGTGAAAATTGCACGGAAATCGGGTTCTACGACGTTTACGGTAGGGCGTTGGGGACTGCACTGGACAGAGTGGTATCAGAGTCGAGGTTGCGCGATTCGAAGACTGGTCCGATTTCTATTTTCTTGACAACTTTTTCGCCCGCGCATTTCGAAGGGGAGTGGGACAAATTTGGTGCGTGTTCCAAGACTAGGCCTTATGCGGAGAGCGAGATGGCTTTGGACGGCGCAAACGAGGAGATGTGGAAGGTTGGGGTACAGAAAGTGAGAGAGGCGAAATCGAGGGTTGAGGGGCATTTTGGGAATAATGCGAGGATTGAGGCGCTTGATATTACAAAATTGACCTTGTTGAGGCCCGACGGGCACCCCGGACCCTACATGAACCCGTTCCCGTTTGCGAATGGGGTTTCCGAGAGGGTGCAGAATGACTGCGTGCACTGGTGTCTGCCCGGGCCAATCGATACGTGGAACGAGATTTTGTTGGATGTGATCAAGAGATGGGAAAGTGAAAACAAAGGGGAAAGATGATATTTTGGTCTTGATCATATGTAGGGTTATTGATAGTTTGATACCTTTTGGTGTTTTTCACTTTTGATGATAGGGTTATATAAACATCATATACTTTAGCATTGGAGTGATGAGTTTTGGCCCAAAATGTGTTGGTTTGGTTTTTGTGAGAAGGTTAGAAATCTAAGAAAATTTTGTTTTAGCTCATGAGATTTATTGAAGGTTCTCATACGTACTCTTCTAAAAGTAAAATACGTTCGCAAGTTTAGTAATTTTCTGCCATTTATATTTTTTGCAATAATTTAGTATAATTTCATCAATTAACCAATTAATGATATGGTGGATTTGTAATGTTATTATTTTCATACACTTATTAGCACAAAAAAACTACCCTCTGACTAAAAATAGCTTAATCAACACATCTTTAGGCAACAACCTTTGAAAACAACTCCATAGGCATATATTTTGTGCATACTAAAACAAAACCCTTCAAAGTTTATGTTCAACCAAGACTTTTTAACTCTTGTGATATTGTGAACACTTAATTTCACAATAAATATATAAAAGAACACACAAAATCAAGAAAATTCAACTTTTCTAATTTTCCTTTTTCATTTTATATTTTTATTATTCCTTTTTTATTTTTTTATTTTTATTTTTTATTTTTATTTTTTTTGTTTGGTATCTCATACTCTGAGACTCTTCTTGCAAAAGTGGAAACTTCTCATCCGACGTAGAATTCATGCCCTCGTGTTCTAGCTTTTGTATTTCCTCATCTTTGATTTGTCCTCACAGTACGGTATAGTAGCCTGCGCCACACACGAACGCTCCCATCATGCTACGTTCACATACAAAGTTACCCATTATTTTTTGGGTTAATTGCCTCTAAAATCATAACCTTTTGTTAAATTGAAAAAAAAAAACTCATCTTTTTTAATTTTACAACTAAATACCTAACCTTTATTATTTTTTGCAAATTTGTCTCAAATTCAATTTCCGGCAACCCTTGCTGACATGTACTGTCGGAAATTTGACGGCACCGAAGTCAATGCCACATCAGAATCCACGTCAGCCCCCCAACACCCTTAAAAGGCTCTTTTTTTGGACGACGCTGAAATTTGGATCGAGCGACGGATTTAGAAGAACGAGATAGAGGGTCGAGTCGGAGTACGCCGTCGGCTTCCTCGTCCTCATGCGCCGCCGTCAGGATTCGACACCGCCACGTACCGGCGGAGATCCGATTTCGTGCACGGCGGGGGTATCCTGGGTGGTGGGCATCCTGGCGCTTGCGGCGATGGGGAGGGAGTAAGGTGACAGAGATTGGATGGTGCTGGAGGGGAATTCAAGGAACGCGGCGGCGGTGGGGAGAACGGTGACAGAGATTGGTGCGGCGGCCATCGAAGGTGGGGCGGTGGATGGGGATTTTGGGGCTAAAATTAGGGCGGAGGACTTTAGGGTTGAAATTTGGGGAGGGTCGGTGAATTAAGTTGCATATAGAATTATACATAAATTATTTCGAAATGGTTCATAAATTAAAATGTTGGGGGGCTGACGTGGATTCTGATGTGGCATTGACTTCGGTGCCACGTCAAATTTTCGATAGTACATGTCAGCAAGGGTTGTCGGAAATTGAATTTGAGACAAATTTGCAAAAAATAATAAAAGTTAGGTATTTAGTTGCAAAATTCAAAAGGTTGAGTTTTTTTTGCAATTTAACAAAAGGTTATGATTTTAGAGGCAATTAACCCTTATTTTTTTAAAAAAAATCAAAGTTTATATATGGGAAAATTATATTAAATGTGATTAATAGGTCATTTATCTATTTTTTTATAGATACAATATGAATATCATATTGAAAATTTGTACCAAAAAAATATCATATCGAAAATTGTTAAATAGCAATTGATCTGATATACCATATATAAAAAAATATTAAATCTAAGGTATATTTATAATTCAAGTTAGTCTATATTTTATAATTTTAATAATTTTAATAATATGAATAAACATCAAAATCTACATAAACCACTACGAAACATCAAATACTTACTAACACATCGGATTTCGATTTTTAGATGGCATTTTTGAAAGATGTATCATTTAAAGAACTGATTCTCTAATGTTCCAAATAATTATTTAATAATATTGAACAATGAGGCAATAAATAAATAGTGGAAAAAATGAGAAAATTTATACTATGCTAAATAGTATGTATTGTACCTTCCAAAGTGAAAAGTATCAGAAAATAGCAAACACCCGAATGTGCTAGCGTAGGGTATCCCAAATGGTTTGAATGCGGGCACGAAATAAGAGCCCTTCACTTTTGTGCACCATATTTGAACACTTGTACGGATTAGACTGCTGAAAATTGCCTGCTTATTGCAAACATTACATGCAATTTGAATACACATAATCAGTTCGAAAAGAAAAAAAAAATAAAAAAAAATACACATAATCAGTATCATTTTCACTTTATTTTGTAGTTTCAATGGTATTTAAAGACGTACCAAAAGATTGTACCCAAAAATAAATAAATAAATAAATAAAGACCTTAACTTCTTAAGAAGTTGAGAAAATTGCAATTTTGGTCCACTAATTTAGGGTGTTTTCCTTTTTCGCCCAACAGTTTATTGTGATTTGAAATTGGTCCAATAGTCCTTTAATTTTAGCCAATTTGCCAGAATTTTATAGTATTATTTGATTCGAAATTGGACCACTGACACTTAAATTTTATAGCTATTGAACCAATTTGCACCAAATCATCTCAAATTTAACAGTTATTGGACTAATTTCGAACCCCAATAAATTACTGGACAAAAATGAAAAATAATTTAAGTTAGTGGACTAAGACTGTAATTTTTCCTAAGATGTTAGTCTAATAAAATATAGGAAAGAAAGAAAATACATTAACTAACACTATTTTTGGACAAATTTTTATATGAACCAGTCTAATAGTGAGGCAAGTCGACTCATTGTACTTTTTTAAATATATTCACTACAAGGAAATAGAGTTCTAGTGAAGATTTTTTTTTGTCACTATATCTACAATTGTTGTCACTATGTAAAAACATTATTGTTAACTTATAGAAGATCCTTCAGAAAGTGTATAAGAAATTCACTGTCAACTTACAAGCTATCGATAAATGAAATATTGACTGACATCTTATAGACAACCGGTACATTGTTCTAATTATTCTATCCAATCAATATTTAATATTAGTGTCCTTCTAGGACTACTAATAATAAATTGAATTTTATACATTTGAATAGATAGATATTTATTAAATCATACTCCATCATTTTCACAATTGCATAATTCTATCTTCTCATTCAACCATATTATAAAGATGATCATAAATTGAGCTATGTAGCATTAATAATATATATCCAATATGTCCACAATATTTTGTATATATTATTTCTCTCATATACAATAGACATACTTATAATATCACATGAATTTTTATAGCACTAAAAACATTAGACATAAATACTTTTTAAAATTTTCAAATCATGTTAGTTAAACAATAATCTTGCAGATTATATAATCCATCCAAAAGTGCATAATTTAAAGTACTAGGGGATATAATACGACATTGCCATATAATTATTCGCATGGCAGAGGAAATAAATTGATCAAATGAGCATTATTTATCCCACAGATTTTAAGCCATCACAATTTGATATTCACAGAAATGCAATTATTTTTTCATATAGTTATTCGCATGACATACGTAAGTAAATTGCAAGTAAATTGATCAAATCAACATTACCTATCCCACAAAATGTCAAGCAAACAATGAATATTAAAATTGAAATTAAATAGTCATGTAAAAATAGTGGGCATGTCATGAGTTTTAATTGTCTTGTGAACAAAGCAAAAGTTGTCACAATGTCACACAAGTATAATATCAATATGTTCAACCTAAAGTGAGCATATCCATTGTATTTGACAGAAAATTAAAATTTTCAAAGAGGAAATACTCACAATAATCTAATACATGGTAATACGGGTAAGATAATGATAACTCTACAGTAATGCTTAGGCTTATAAAGTCAGATTAGTACTTTAGATCTCTTATATATCTAGTCATTCAGGGGCATTTTATCAAACACATCATATGCATAATAATAGTACGTAACA